CAACCAGGATCTGTATATCTAACCTCAGCTACTCCCAACCCCTGCCCCGGCTGCGGGTCTGGGCCTGCAGATGGGTCCTATGGACACTACCCTAACAGCTAGGGAGGCCTACCCGCTATTGTGGGATTTCCCAATCTAATTGGAAGGAAGTATGATGAACATTCTTGTGGTTTAAAGCCAGTTGTGTCTCAGGACAGCTATAGTGACTGCGGGGTTTGGGGTGCTTGTCTGTCTGGAGGAACAACAGCTCTTCTCGCGTCACGCTTACGCCCATGGCCTGAGCCCGGCTCCCCGGCTTCTTTGCTTAGGCCTGGACTCTTAGGCAGCGGGTCACCTGCCTTCTGCCTCTTCCCAAATCCATCCCCATGAGCAGCAGGGGCATAAGAAGTGCTCTTAGTCGAGGCAGAGAGCGAAGAGTGACTCTGCTGCTTCTGGAACTCTCAGGGCTGAGTCTCTGCTTGGGAAAGCCATCTGTGTAAGGCCACACAGCAGGAGAGCAGAGCAGCTCTCGCTCGCACTCTGAGCAGAAAGCCTTCTTCCCACTTGGCTAGAATCTTTTGTACCTAGCGGTATGCCGAGAGCCCTGGATTGGAGGTAATGAGTTGGGGCTAATGGTGCTCATGCCTGGGCCCTGCTACTCAATGGACAAATGGGCTTGGAAGAGGGAAGCTACTTGCTTAAGGACTTACAGGTAAGGTTCTGGCAGAGCTCAGATCAAGTCCTAGATTCAAGACTAAGCCAGATATCATTTTCTCCTTCCCAGTGCGCAGTCTGACTGTGTAAGGATAGTGTGTGTGTGTGCGTGTGCACTTACTTGCGTGGTGATGAGAAAAACTCAGTGAAGGAGCTGGTTACGCTTATGTGATGTGTAACCCACCACCGCCCCGGCTCCTGTAAATCTTCCCTGAAGGATGACCAAATGGCCCAAACCAGGTTTGTTTCTCATCCTCTTTCGTTCTGGCCCGGTAGGGGTTGGTGGAGAGCACAGAGAAGTAATTAGGGGGACTGATATAATCAGACCTTCTAAAGCAGCCAGTTGCTTGGCTTTAATCATCGTCCACGGCAGCAGGCAGAAACCAAGGAAGAAACAGCAGCACTTTCATTCTCGGAGCGGAAAACTACAGCTGCAATGGCTGCGTGCAGTTCATTGCTCCCATCTAATGCTGCTCAAAAAAAAAAAACAAAAAAAAAGCTAGGATTCTTCAGCTCTGTTCCAGGGCTGGGTCGCCTGAGTATCCTCTGTTGCTTTCTGGAAATGGAAAGGGATGCTAATCAGTGAGACTCAATGTGTGCTGGGGCCTGGACCACTGCAGTGCACACACGCCCCCAGCATCACACCAGTGACTTATGGCTGAGCACTATGAACATCTCCATCTTGAAGACGAGGAGCCACAGTCTCAGATAGTTTTTGTGGCTTCTCAAAAGTCACATCATTAGCCAGTGCTAGAGGCAGGATTTAAGCCTTGGTTCCAAAGCTGCTTAACATCCCTGCCTTGCTTGCTTCATGAATACTCTGAGAACGCTAAAAAAGTGCCTGTGACTTAACCCAGGTAATCTGGCCCCCACCCCAATGGTTACCGCGCTCCTCTCCTCCAAGTCAGATTGCTAAGGCGCTGATAAAGTTCTGGTCTCATTCATCACCCACTCTGCCGTCTATCACTCACTCTGCAGACTCATTCTTTCAGCGTTGGGAAGCCAACGTTCCAGTGTAGCTGAGCACTGTGGACTTTGAGGGGCAGGCTGTCCTGGATCTAAGCCTGCTTCTCCCGAGGTCCGATGACCTTTCTGAAGATGGTGGACATGTGGGGCACGGACAATAATAGACTCTTAGCTTGTTCCAAACCCTATGTTCTTTCTCTCTGCCACCTTGGAAAGATCTGGCTCTTTTGAGAGCCACAGGGGAATGGCTCCCTCAGAGCTGGGCTCAAGTTGTTGGTCAGGGCAGAGGGCAGAGACTCCTACAGGTCTCCTTAGCAATGCCTAAAAGAGATCTATTTTAGCTCAGCTACAGGCTCCACACTGTTTTTGCGCTCAGGATCAGTACCCTTCTAGAAGTCAGCTGCGCTTTTCCTGGTTTTTGGCCAGACAGTCACGTCTCACTAACTGACCCCGTGCTAGGCTTAGGGGAGAAGGTAAGCAGCTTGCTCCAAAGGTCAGGCATGGAGAGCCCAGAAGTACAGATAGGGTTGGGGTGGCTGGCCTGTGTCCTCAAAGGAGTTTTCTTCCACTCAGAATTCCTGGTAAAAGAGAACCAAAAAGACTTGGTCCCAAAAGAGAACCAAAAGACTTGGTGCAGACTTGGTCCCAGTGGGTGTACCGAGGTGCTTGGAGGCAGACTGGGGAAAGCAGTCTTAGGCCATGTAAAGGACCCTGTGACTGGCCATTGAGCTGTGGGGCTTTGTGTATCTAAGGAGCTTCATGCTCAGTGAATCAGGGGAGCCCAGAGAGACGGTAGTATTCTCAGGACAACGTTTGGGAGATGACTGGAGCAAGACAACCTAGAGCCCAAAATGAGTGAGGGTCTCAAAGCCACACAGCTCAGTGAGAGCTGACATTCCAAATTCAGTTGAGGTAGACAGATCAGAGCTGCTTTCTTGAAACACTGGCACCACAGACTGGCATGGCCAAGAACTGCAGGGTTTGGGGAAGAAGTGTCCCAAGGAGCTAGTTACTTTCCTCTGACTTTTGGCTTTGTCTTCTGTGCAATGAAGTTACCCTCCCTTGTCAGAGGCTAACAGTATGACAGGTCTCCAGTTAGGACCTGAGTGTGAGACATAACTGCCTGTGTCTAGCTTGTTTGTCTCCACAGGGTGGTCTAGGGAGACTGAATTGTCCCCCAAAGAGACTGGGTGCTGAGGGTTTTACAATGTAGGGAGACTGAATTGTCCCCCAAAGAGACTGGGTGCTGAGGATTTTACAATGGCCCTAGGAGAGTTCCAGGTGTGGGCCAGGTGCTGATGCCTCAAAGAATGGGGCCAGGGAGGATGAGAACCAGAGCAGAACTGAGCCCGTGGTTCAGATGAGGAGCTGGGCGCCTGCAGAAGAGACCAGACATTCCAAGCCCAGTGCTCAGCCCACCTGAGCCAGCCCTCTAGACAGTTCTAGGAATTGCTCTTCTAGCCTTAGACAAGCGGTAGTCTCACTTTCAGAAAGACATTCTTTTATCTCTACCCCTCCCCCCTTTTTTTGTGTGTGAAATAGGGAGTTAGTTCACTTTGTCCTGGAGCCAAAGGGAGAGTTTAATGAAGATCGATAAAGAAATTAAAGATGAGCAGGGGAGGCCAGATGAGCTCAATTTCAAGTCCAACTAGAAAATCTCTGGGGGTGTGTGGGTGGGTGTGGGAAGGGAAACTGTTGCTTGCCTCATTCAGCAGCTCACCCTTCATGCTTTGGGGTGAATGGAAGATGGAGACAAGGGAGGCCTAAGCAGAGAGGCTGGGTGGGAAGGAAGAAGTGGGCTTCAAGGGGCGAGGGGGAGACTCTGCTGCCTGCTTAGGAGGGGCCTTCCTCCACTGTGCTCTGCACCATTGTCGGGAAATAGCACATATAAAATAAATTAACCAGTTCCCCCCCCCAATCCTTTAGGGGGCAGTGATGGCCACCTCCATTCCACTTTACAGAAGCGCAGGTTGAGGCTGACAGGGGTAGACACTGGGAGGCACAGGGCCAACCTGGGAGCCCCCTACTTTTCCTCTCTCATTCAGATAGATTCCTTCTCTCCTCCATGATCCAAAAGCGGCCATAGTGGCCACACCGTGCAGCCCAAGGACAAGGCAACAGCTTACTTTGCTGGATTCGGCTCTGATATTTAAGTGAAGCCCCTTCTTATCCTAGGGGAAGTTCTTGATTAAGAGATGGGCAGAGGCAGGAAGCCTGGTCGACAAAGGGAGTCCAGGACAGCCAGGGCTACACAGAGAAACCCTGTCTCGAAAAACCGAGAGAGAGACAGAGACAGGAGCGCTCTGAAAGCAGACCCCACTTCCACCCCACGCCTGACAATGACTTCAGCTACCCTGGGAAAAAGCTAGGGCTGCGCAGAGCGCCTCAGGGCCGCAGTCAGCTAGTTGGGTTGCTCTGACTGGGGC